ACAATTTTTATTCATATCACTCATCTAATATTGGTCATATTATAGTGATAACACATGGAAACGGAAAAATCTTCGGAACCATTCCTTTATCTAATGTAGATATGAGACTGTTGCCATGATTTTCATCTTTCTAATTATATTTAAAGAAGCTAATCAAGTCTTATGTCATATCAACATTTAGAAAATGGTTTCAGAGTGCTACTTCAGTGTTTCATTATCCTGGAGGCTTCCTTGGAAATCCACATCCTATTGTCTTGATGTGAACACTCCACCAGAAACAGGCAGCACAGCAAGTTCCAGTCACAATTTCACCCCTTCAAGAGCAAGTTCGCTGTTTTAAGTAGCATGCAGCACACGTTTATTTTTTTAGAAAGCATACATCCTAGTTGTACCCCTAATCCCGATTTTATCTTAGTGAGAAGAAAATTTAGTGTTCTCATGAAAAACTAAACAAAATTAAATCAGATGTAAAAGGAATATTGACTTTCAAAGATCTACGAAGCTACAGATGAAGAATATCTTGTCTATGAATTAGAATAATTCCTAACACAACTGGCTGTGTACCTAAATTCAGAATGAAAATACAGACCCCCCCCCAAGGGAAAACATACTGTATTCTATTATCATTTAGATTGAGGCAAAACAAGGTTTCATAGGAGATAAATATTCTTAACAAGTAAAGAAAGAATTAAGCCACTGGGATTTTCTTTTTATTTCAACTGTTGAGCTTTTATAAGAAAGTGTTTAGCGTTCCGAAAGCCTTTTACGGCTCTAAATATGCAACAATTATATGAACAACACGATTTAATTAGAATGCATTGAGTGTATGGCTCTATAATGGGAATTTCATTGATTAAAGTAGTTGGAAATACAAAAGTATTAGCTATAAACAGTTTGAGGAATCGAGAATCTAATTTGCCTACTGCACAGCAAAGACTAGCACATTGCAGTTATGTGAGTAACGGTGGCGAGCATATAGCAGCTCGATGTTTATCTAGCCATTTCAGACTTCATTCATCCCACAGCTACGCACTGGGCACCCACCCCATGCCAGCCCCGGTCTAGGTGCTGGGGAGCCATCAGAGCACAGACAGGTTCTGGTCCTTGTGGAGCTGACATTTGAGCAGAGGAGACAGATAATGTACAACAAGCACAGGACATACACTGTCGTCCGCAGGTGTAAGTACTGCGGTTGGGGGGGCGGGAGGGGACAGGCAGAGTAGGGTAGTGGAGTCAGCAGGAGGGAAGCGGGGGGCTGCAGCTTGAACTCAGTGATCAAGGGGGTGCCTCATTAAGAAGTGACATTTCAGCAGGCTTTAAAGAGACGGCAGTGTGAGCTATGTGGGGGTCTGGGGGAAGAGCATGCCGCATGCCGGGCAGAGAAAACAGCCCGGATAAAAGCCCTAAGGCTGACGAGCTCTGAGTGTTGCAACCTGAAGCGGAGTGAGCAAAGGGGAGAATATTAGGGGGAAACACACAACACTATAAGGTGAGGGCTCCTTCGCTTACACGGGGAAGCAGATCATGGAGGGCCTTTGGACGGGAGTAGTTCCATTGTTTGTAGGCCCAGTGCACAGTGAAAACGCAGGACCCTTGTTCAGACAGAGGGAAAGTGCTGTCGAAGGTACTAAAATATAAAGCTTTTTTCCCTTTGAAATATTGTAGTACTTATAGTACTGGGATTTACCTATTAGAGGGATAACAATATTACATGAGTCACGAAAAGCTTTTAAACTGCAAAAATAATATGTTGGTGTTATAATTTTGTATAACACAAAATAATGATATTTTATTAATATTTCTTGATTGAGCCTACAATTCTCCTCATTTGCTTTTCTACATATTCGTTTATTAGATCACCAACAGGTATATATTTAGCAGCTTCACTTTCAACCCATATAATTGAAAGCTCTTGGCAAATGCAAGATCACAAAAAATTCTGATTTCTGATAGTTTTAAATATTGAGGAAGATCTTTCTGCTGATGCCACGGTTACGGGAACTGCTGAGAGTATTTTATAGGCTAGGACAACACCCAGATAAATCTCGGGTAAATTATTTCAAAATATAAATTTTAGTATATCTAACTTGGCAAATCTTGCAAAACAACTTCTCTAAAATGATTTAACTTCGGACAGATCAGTTTCATGTAAGTTTGAATTTAATTTTAAATGCAAATATATACAATGCATTTTAATGTTTCCTCTGACATCTCTGATAACTTGTGGAGGTTGAACAAGAAACTGGAAGTGGCTTCATGATTTGTACGTAATTCAAAACACCTGTGTATGCATTTACCCCTGCACCTATGATTACAAGGAGCAATTAATTTTAAAATTGTCTTCCATGTTAATTGGAAGTTCCTAAAGTTCCCTATGAAAATAGAGTCCTTTTCTGTTGAATGTGATCATCTTTAAATTCCATTCCATTTCTAATGAATCATTTGCTTCCCATGCTGCAGCAGTTTTCAAAACTGAAAACTCAGAGGTCTTTGAAGAATTCCAACTCTCTGATGTGCTTCATTGCAGCGTCCACACGTCCGCTTTCATTCTGTGCTCCTTACAGGTCAAGTTTGCTGCCCGAGTTCCAGCAGTTCCTGTCTGGGCGCTCAGGCCGGAGAGTTAACATCAGCCTCCAGGACCAGCTCTGGGGACCCACTGGACAGCCAGGCTCCTGCGGTGTTCTGGCGCTGCCCCCTTGGAGGCCCCTGCTCTCTCTCAGGGCTGTGCTGCCCTTCTGCTGATGCTGCCCGGGTCTCCGTCTCAGCGTCCCTGCCCCTCAGGGTCCCAGAGTGCCCGGACTGTCCCTGGGTGTGCAGTGCGCAGCTGGTCAAACACTATTGCAAGCCGCTGCCTTCTGTGCCGGAGCTCGTGTGTGTGCAAACGGCTGCTTCAGGGACCTCCTCTCCTCAGGAATATGCCCCTTTGTCCCACTGAACTTCACTTACAACCTGAGTTCAAAGATAAAAGTACTGAGAAGTTCAAGACAGCAGCAGCGGAGGGCTGACCAAGCCTGGGCCCTTTGCAGTGCAGGGGCTGAGCGACTGCACAGCCAGGCCTCCAACGCTGGAGACCTCCTAGGCCTCCATAAACCTCTGGGCTCTTTCTCGGAAGGAAACCGGAGCCGGTGAAGGTCTTGAGCAGGAAGTGACATGAGGTGCTTCACTTGCAGCCACAGGTTTGTGTTTCACACTAGAGAGCCGGACCCAATAGTCTGACTCAAACATCACACTTGATTTACACAACAATCGTTTTGCTTTTGGACACTCAATACACTCAAAAGTCATTTCTAAACAAAATCACAATGTACAACCTAACTGTGTACACTTTTTATTCACCCATAAAACCTAACTGTGTACACTTTTTATTCGCCCGTGTTCTTTATTATATAATCCTATAAAATAAAGAGGCAATATGCAAATTAACCCTCACACCCTCACAAGATGGCTGCCTACGACCAGGCGGGTAGGGGGGTTAGTGAGGAACGACCAAATGACTGAACAAGCAGGCTGCGTGGGGTGACCAGGCTGGCGGGGGTGGGGGGTGCAGTTGGAGGCAACCAGGCCGGCAGGGGGTGTAGTTGGGAGCAATTAGGCTGGCAGGGGGGGCCAGTGAGGAGCGACTAGGCCAGCAGGGGGGGCAGTTAGGGTCGATCCAGGCCGGCGGCGGGCGGGGGGGGGCAGTTAGGGGCAACCAGGCAGGCAGGCAGGTGAGCGATGAGGAGCCAGCAGTCCAGGATTGTGAGAGGGATGTCCGGCTGCCAGTTTAGGCCTGATATCTGGGATCGGGCCTAAACCGGCAGCCGGACATCCCCTGAGGGGTCCCAGATTAGAGAGGGTGCAGGCTAGGCTGAGGGGACCCCTCCCCATGCACGAATTTCATGCACTGGGCCTCTAGTACCTCAATAAAACTGGGGAAAAGTAATTTCTAAATATTCTTGATACATGTTTCTCTCTCTCTCTCTCTCCCTTTTTCTCCCCACTCCCCCTCTCAAATCAATAAACATATCCTCAGGTGAGGATTTAAAAAGAATATAAAAGAATATGAGCATGTGGGAACAGGGGTTTCCTCCAGGCCCCAGGTCTTGCAGGGCCTTCTCCTTGCTGATCTGTCGAGTCCTCACATCTGCAGGTTCCTAACTCTCACGCCCTGTGGTCCACGTGCTCCCTCGGCTCTCGATCCCTCTCTGAGGGTCTCTGAGCCTCTGCTCCTGCACCAGCATCACTGGGTTCAGTTTTCCAGTTCCTACTGCCGAGAGCGAGACTCTAGTTGACCCAGCTCATTCCTAGTTGAGCAACCCTTTTCGCCCCAGATCTACTCTAAGCCACAGGCAGCCTGCGCATAGCTACCCTTGACTCAGATTCCTTCTCCTGATCCGATCAGCCATGGCCGCGGGGCACAGTGTCCCGGCCATAGCACAGCGCCCTGGGTCACTCCCACCCCCTGGGAACCGTGGGTGGGGCAGTTCTCTCTTATCAGAATCTGTGAGGACTGAAATGACATACTTGAACCCTTGCCCCAGATGTCTCCTAACACACAGCTAAACTTCTGGTAAGAAGTTAAAAAATTCAATGCCTGAAATTCCATCAGTCTTGGCCTAATTTCAGTAAACAAGGATCTTTTTTCATAACAAAACTCCCTCTAAGAAAGTTAAGATTTACTTGCAGTGCCTGACAGATAGCTAGCACTCAATAAATGCTAGCTGAAATCGTGATGAATAGAGTCAATTTATCTCATTGTTTTCCTCTGAGAAGAGCTACACGGGGTGAAGACATTTTATGGACGGACGAAGACATTTTATGGATGACTGTTTAGAGCAGCGGTTGGCAACTGGTGGTCCGTGAGGTCCAAAAGGTTGGCGACCGCTGGTTTAGAGCACAGGAAATCTGGCAGAACCCTGGGGAAGGGTGTGATAGCTAAAGGACCGCGCAGATCACGGACATCTGGAGCACAGGTGGGAAAAAGTGCAGAAGGTGGCAAGTAAAAAGGCAGTGCCTCTCACCTTCCACACCTCAGCCCCCGACACTGAGCAGGACAAACAGACCTCCCGGCGGTGCCTGTTTGTAGAGGCCAGGAAGAAAGAGGTGACACTGCAGAATGCTGCCCAGAGGCCAGACAGGAAGAGGCCTGAAAACATCCACCGATTCAGTGGCATGAACCTCCGTGGTGAACTTAGCAGAGGGCTGCAATAAAATGAAATAAAATATGTAAATGCAGTCATGTGATATAGCAATTTAAGGATCAAGGGACTGAGAGAGGAAGACCTATTCTAGTCTCGGCCCCGCAACCTAATTGCTGTGTGACCCTGCAGAAGTCCATTAAACGCTCAGAGCCCGGCTTTCTCATCTACCTGTAAAACGGGAATAACAATACCTACCTACCTGTAGGGCTATTGCAAAAATTAACGGAGACAATACACGTGAAAGTTCAATGAGCTTGACACAGCTCTACATAGAAGGAAATGCATTCTCAGTGTTACCACACAGCAATAGGTAAGTCTGCTCATGTCACTCAGCAAGAAGCACACTAAACATAGGACCAAAAACACTTGGCCAAGCATTAAGGGGAAGGCCACGTTCCCCGCGAAGGACAGACATTCTGCTAAAGGGGCTCTGCTCCGAGGAAAGCAACGTTGGCCTGAGGAAGGCATGTAGACCTGCAAGTGACAAAGCACTGGGTACATGTGTGGCTATATTTCCCCAAACAATTGAAACATCATATTTTACGTCTGTTTGTGCTTTTTACCGCAGTCAATTATAAATTCAAGTAATTACGGAAGAACCGTGCTAGATGTAACCAATCCCACACATTCATGCAGGAAGGATTTTTGCAGAGGGCTTCGTATTCTCTTTCCTTTCTTCACAGGCCATTCTTTTGAAGGATATTAAAGTGACTGATAATAACCAGAAATATCTTTGGATGATCTGTGAATGCATTCTCAGCTCCTAAAATAGAGATCGATGATAAGAATTGCAAACGTGTGCCGCAGAAGAAACCAAATCTAAAACAACTCAAGGGGAAAAAATTCATAAAGAAAAACATTCATTTCCTGGTAGAACCCTGGATTGGAATTGCAAAATCTTTTCTATGGAAATGTTGGTGGGGAACCCACAACAGATAAGAGCTAATACTTACTGAGCACGTACTATGTCCTGGGACATGTGTTTTTTCCCTGTGCAGTTCATCTGATCATCATGGCAAATGAAGTAGCTATTAAAGTGTCATTTTCCCCATTTACAGATAAAAAACTGAGACCCAGACAGATGAATTTGTCGAGAGCCACACAGCTGTAAGTATTAAAGCGGGAAGCTGAAGCATGCATCAGGAACAAACAGTTCCTGGTTTCTCTGTTCTTTTTAATCATCTATAAGGACTAACAACAGAGTACGAAACCAAGACGGGTGCCCTTCTGAACAGCAGGCCCTGACAGGTCTCAGGCCCTGAAGCCTATGCTGACAATATAATCGTTGCTTCAACTTATCTGAGAGATAAATGCGATGTAAATTATAAACAAACATCAACTTCAAAACTGTAAAGTTGTTTAAAGTGCACCTCAGACCTCTGAGAAAGATATCCCTGAAGACAAACAGCACGGGTACCGGTGTGAAGTGTTACACCTGGTCGGTGACCGCCAAACCTCAGCGTTCATGGGAATCGCCCGGTGGGCTTGTGGAAACACAGGTTGCTCGGCCTCAGTAGGTCTGGTGAGGCCTGTGAACCTGCGTTTCTACTGGGTTCCCAGGTGATGTGGATGCTGCTGGTCCAGGAACCACACTTTGAGAACCACGAGACTAGACCAAAAAAAGCAGCCATCTATCGTGTTATTTTAGATGCACTGAAAAGGCCTCTCTCCGAAAAGTCCTTCAGAAAGGAACCAAAAGCAAAACTCCTTTGACAAGAAATGAAGCCCGTCAGGAATGCATTTGGCAGGAGCGAGAAGGAGGTTCCTAAAGATGACCCCCTGTGTGCTAACTCTCTCACTCAACAGGGAGCATCCGATACCCAGCTGACCTGCTCAGGAGCTGGGGTGCAGTAGCGAACCAGGAGAGAGTCCTTATCTTCATGAAGTTTACACTGGAGTGGGCGGAGGCAGGCAATAAACATCCGCACCAGGTAAACACTGCGTGTGGGGCATAGTTGATGGTTCATGCTGTAAAGAACAGACAGAGGCCACGAGAAAACCAGGGATCGGAGAGCTCTAGGCGAGGGCCCGGCAAGTGCAAAGCCCTGAGCTGGGAACACCTGTGATGCGATTGAGAGACAGCAACATAAAAGGTACGGTTTTAAATTGTGTATGAATGAGGGAAGTTTCCTACTAACCTCCAGAATTGATGGGCAAAATGATAGGGAGTTTGTGACTTTCAGAGTTTGGGGGAAAAGTGGAGAGAGCTCTCGTCCACACTCAACAAGCATATAATTTCTCTCCTCTCCTCTCTTCTCCTCTCCTCTCCTCTCCTCTCCTCTCCTCTGGTATTGCAGTGTTTGGGGAACCCAACTTCACATAACAATGTAGATGCAAAATACCCCTGGCTTTTGCTTTCCTTTTGTATTTCCTGTTAACTGCTTGGCAGTCAGGGTAAGTGCTGAGGAGAGAAGCCAGGTCTACAGGCTGCCTAGGGAGAAATGGGGGTGTGTTGTGGCAGAAGGGATCTTGCTCTGACCCCTGCTCAACATCCCCCCTCCCACTCACAGTGACGGCTTCCTAGTGCGAGGCCTGTAGCTCTTAACTTGTATACAGGTGAGGCTGCACGTGCCAAGGTGTTAACACCCTGGAAGCAGCCTCCGAACAATGAGGAACAGGTGTTCCTTTGTCCTTTTGGGGGGACAACTCTGAGGCACAGTCCCCTGTGTCCCCTCTGTCCTCCAGAGGACACCGGTGGGACTGAGTGCCTTAATGTACCTAGTAGCAGCTTCCTTTCCTTCCATCTCACCTCCTCACTCCCCTACTGGTGCCTCCTGGCCTTACCTCCCAAATCAGCTACTGTTCCTAGAATCCTAGCTTCAGAATCTGCTTGAGGGGGTACCAGACTAGGACAAGTCCCTTCTCCTGGAGGAGTCCTATCACTGTAGCATCTCTGATCCACCGGCCAGTCCTTCTACTGTCTTTCTAATTCCAGCAATGCTTTTTATCTTCCCACGGACCCAGAGATACTCATCCCGTGTACGTATGCTGTCATAGAACTCAGCCTCCACAACCACACTGCTCCCTGCAACTCCCAGTCTCCACGACCATACTGCTCCACACAACTCGCAGGCCATTGCTTAGAGGTATTTTACCCAATAAATTACAAATAGCTTTAACTTGTAGTTATCACCGCCAAAATTTCTTGACTGGTCATTCTTAAAAAGAAACATCCAGAAGTAGACTCATGTGTTTACCCACGATAATAAAATCCATATTTGCAATGTGCATCGTTAGTACAGTCTGTGCTTGTTAGATGGGCTGCCATTGCTGTGTCCAAATTCACTAGCTGTAGGTGGAGAGGCAAACCTACCCTCTTCTTTGTTAAGATGTTGGTGGAGTACCTCAAGGTCATGATCTTGAATAATTTCACGATTTTAAGCTGATTGGTTTTCCTGTTTTTAACCACAAACCCATGCTTTTAGTTGGAAATGTAATTTAAGAAGTGTTCAACTTGAAAGTTAGTAAAATCACAAAAGCCAGAAATGTAATGTTATCAAGAAATTAGTGTAGCAGGAAGTGGAGCCAAGCATTGGTACATGTTTATAAACAATGCATCTGGTGAAATGGAATTGTGGCCGGAAGTTGAACAGATCAGTGGGAGTCAATGAGTTTTTGTATAATTCCGTTGTGACCAGTGTTTTCTGCTTGAAAGCCAATGTTGAGAAAAACAAAGTATTTACTGCCAGGCATGTTTTTGTGAATGTCAAATGGGATTAGCTTTATTTGAGTCCCAGGGGGGAGCAGTTCTAATCTAATAATATAGATTACTTAATTTTCTGACTAGAAGAACATTACAGAACAAATGACACAAAATTCTCATATCTGGGAATATTAATTTTTTGTTCGGAAATAATTATAATTTTTTTTAAAAAAACACAGAAAGTTATAGAGTGAGTACAGAGTGATTCTGTGTACCCTTCCCCCAAACTCCCCCTATGGTTACACCTTGTATAACTATAGCATATTATCAAAACCAGGACACTGACAATGGTACAGTATGGTTGTAGAGTTCTATTTGGTTTTGAACAGCAACCATTGCAATGAAGATACACAACCTTCTGTCACAACAGAGATCTACTGATGGTGACATCTGACCAGTTTGAATAAAGAGTAGAACCCTTACATCCCTCTAAGATCCTTTCCACTCCCTTGTTTATAATATTACCAGAGGCCCGGTGCATGAAAATTCATGCACTGGAGGTGGGTCCCTCAGCCCGGCCTGCCCCCTCTCACAGTCTAGGAGCACTCAGGGGCAGGAGGCAACCCACTGATCAGGGGAAGGCGACTCCCCATCACACCTCTGCTGCTGCCACTGCCGGCAGCGCGAGCCTCGGCAGGCCCTGGTTACCTGAGCCTCAGGCGGCCCTGGGCAGCTGGGCAACTGCCATCCCAGGCTTGCCTGCACCTCGGGCCGGCCCTGGGCGGCTTTTGGGCTGAGGGGACTAGGGGATTCCAGAGTCAGGCGCATGGAGCGGCCAGGCCTGCCTGGGGTGGGCCTGGCCTTGCTGCACACCTGCTGCGCTGGTGGGGCTGAGGGGACTGGGTGCCACCATCTTGTGGCTGTGGGTGCCACCATCTTTGAGGGCGTGGTAGCCAATTAGCATATTCCCTCTTTATTGGCTGTGGGTGCCGCCATCTCTGAGGGTGGGGCAGTCAATTAGAATATTCCCTCCTTATTGGCTGTGGGCGCCACCATCTTTGCGATGGTGTGAGGGTCAATTAGCATATTCCCTCTTCATTAGATATGATTGTCATCACACAATGTTGTCATTTGTTTGCTCATTCCATTATTCTTTCTGCCTTTCTAATGTCCCAAGATGCATTCTTTTTCATTTACCTTCTTTTCCATTATTCTTTCTGCCTTTCTAATGTCCCAAGATGCATTCTTTTTCATTTACCTTCTTTTCAAGAAATCCCTTCTTTCAGGGGAGGTATGCCAGTGACTAGTTGTCTTAGTTTTCCTTTGTCTACAAATGTCTTTACTTCCTTTATTCCTGA